TAATAATCACACTGGTCTTGAGACCAGCGTTTAAACCAATTAATTTATGCACTCGAGCATTCACCACACCGTTATATGCCTTTTAAATCTGCTTTTATAAAAATACCTCCTTACACGGACACTGCAACTGATGAATGGATAACCTTGACTAGTTTGACTATACTTAAATAAATATTACTGAGATAATTTACAACGTATTATTTTATTTATAACCAAAACCAGGAAACCTAGACAATGCAATTTCCAACTTACGTTATTAAGACGTAAACAAAACAATAAAATAATATCATGAAAAACCGACCAAGTATGAGTCGGACTCGCGCACGAAGAATTCCGCACCGCATCTTCTAATAAATAATTATTTTATTGCGTTTTTAGTTTCTATATTTGTAGCGACAACAAAAATGCATCATGTATAAGAATTTCAACTCTCTATCACAGTTCATGATATACAACCTAATGATAGACAAACGAACAGCGGAATCTTTGTAATAGGGTCCCGTTTTTATCCTTCAGAAGGGGAATTCTAAAAATTTAATATTCTACCTGTGTATTGAAAGGTAGTAATTTAGCGAGAATCGGCATTGAGATTACGATTTCACGGATACATCGCAATACACATTAACAGGTAGCGATTTAAAGTAATATTTTAAACATAGAAAATTGCACTTAGTCACATATTATCTATATATATAAAAATGAATCGCAAAATGTGTTGGTAAGCGCATAACTCAACAACGCCTCGACCAATTTGGCCAAATCTTTTTTTAAAATGTTCGTTGAAGTTCAAGGATGGTTTTTACGGCGAGAAAAATTAGAATTATTGCTGGAAAAACCCTAAAAATAGCCCTTTTCTTTTTCCCATACAAATGATTTGTAACTAAAACGTAGTCAATTTGAGCTTTATTGCTATGGTATAAAGTTCATATTAAATTACAAGCACTCACTGTTGTCTAAGCAATGTAGGTGTGTTCCTAACGTCAAAGATCATATCTATCAAAACAATGTGCGTGTGTGCGTTGGAGCATGTATGTTGCCTGTTCCCGTGTTGGAAAACCATCAGATTTGTTTATCTATGCGCCAGGTAATCAAACAAAAAACATCGTATACCACAAAGCACTACAATGATAATAATAATAATTATGATTCACATGATTAACAATAAAGCGATTACTTACTTTTAAATCCTTATATATGTTTTATTTAATTATTTTTTATTCACAACGCCCTATCACCAGGGTGACGGTTCTGTTCAGGAGAATTTTTTTAAATACGTAGGCAAAAAAACTGCCACATTACAAATCTTTTTGACAGGACGAAGTCTGTCGGGTCAGCTAGTTTATTATAAATTTATGGTTCCTTGCTATCCCAAACTAATAAAATAAAGCATTCGTGTAACGGATATCGATAACATCAACCATGTTGACTTAGAGGCTAAAGCTAATGTATTAAAAGAGGGTAAAGAAGCGGTAACTTAAAATCATAGAATTGATTCCTTTCAATTCCAATTCTTTAATCAATGAGACGTGATAACCAATATTTTCGATAACGAGCGCAGTAGTTAAAAAAGTTTTATTTTTGTATCAAAAACTAGCAACTATAGCAAAATCACAACATTTCTAATTAATAATAAAAAAAAATAACAATGTATTCAATATAATCGCAACCTTGTAAGTAATAGGACATCCACATCGATATTACATCGCGATATTTGTTATAGCTAAAGTGGTCTGACCGAGGATGCATATCGCATACATAGATCTCTCAAATTACATGCGCAAATTATATACCTGACAATACGTTACTCAATAAGAGGCCCTTATCAAACAACAACGTCACGTGAGCAAACGGCAGAGTAATTAATAATGCTTCTACAGTGACTGCTGATGAGTTCATTGTTTGCAAGTGGCGACCGAAACGCTATTGCTCAATTGTACCAGCTAAGCATGCAGCAATTCGCAAGGACACCGGCTATCAACCGGCGTGGTGACTACTTCTTTTACTTAAATATGGATATTTATGTACACAGTAATTCACGTATACTTCTTACGTAAATTGTTTCTGCAATATATCAATCAGTCGATTTTTGTTTACTTACCTGTTAGCATAAACTAATTGAATTTTCTTATGTTACTTATTTTACTAATATTATAAAGGCGAAAGTTTGTATGTTTGTTATTTCTTCACGAAAAAAAATACTGAACGATTTTGATGAAATTAAGCACAGATTTTTTATCAAAAGAGAGTTCCGTTAAGTCATTATACGCGTGCAAACCTCTGGGGGAAGGCTAGTATTAAATGAAATCAAATATGTAAAAACTGTGCGTATTGTTACCTACCCTAACATTATAAAATTACTCTTTATGAAAAATAATTTTATTATTAAGAATAATATTGCATATAGGAAATAAATGAAAACTAGAAAGTTGAAGACATCGAATTGAATGTCACGGTACCTAGTCAAATATTAAAGGTAACAATAATTACTGCGGAAGGAGCTCGGTGCATTTCCCTATTGGATTAAATTTTTTCCGAAGCAATATTTATTTCAATAATGGAATCAAGCTATAAATAACCAACAAATAAGTTTTATTGCTTATTATTATTCTGCTACGGATTTTTTTATATTCCAATGAATAACGAAGGATAAGATCCAAGGTTATGGCCTTCGTACCTATGTCACAATCTTAACCCACGCTCACATCGAGAACTATGATAAAAGTTTGAGTAATTTATCTAAAAGCAAGGTGTATATAACGAATCACTGATCTGGTCTATATTAATTATGAACAAAACAACTAAACTAAATACGCTGAATTATAATATCAATTATAAATTCAATTTTATTTAAAATACGTTATTCTTTTTGAAATAGCATTTTTAGTGAAAAGACCAGACACGAGCGATTTCCCGAAAATGTTATAAGTACTGTAATGAAAAATGCTTAAATAACCCACTTTGTCCCAGGTTCTCTGAAATGGAATAATAATATATTCCAGTATAGCATTAAAGCATAAGAATAATATGTTCAAATATAGCATTGTGAAAGTTAAATTGATCAAATAGATATAATAATGTTATAGGTACGTTGAAGTATTTGTTAAAAAATATATAGCATTATCTTCATAATATACAATCTTGAGTACAGTGTTTTTGTATTATTATGAGATTTCGCGATTAAGTCTCAATTTCACTATTCTTAAAAAGAAAAGGTTTCACCCTTAAGACGAACGTTACTATATATTTTCACCGCAAATTATTAAAGGAATAACAAAGAATTTTAAATATTTAGAAACAATATCTCCCCGATTTCTACACCCTTTTGTATTGCCATCACGTAATTTAAGTATTCAACAAAATGTTGTAAGTCGAAAATAACTTATGCTACATCGCATGCGTTGCCGCAAACTCTTATACAATGATGTCGACTGAACAAATAGTTATGTGTTCCGCATTTCTACTAAGCTTCATTTACGCAGAACATAGTTTCGTGTGACAGCTCATTCAAACAACTGCCTCAATTAATGAACATTACTAGCGCGCTACTTAGTGATTCATTATAATACGCTCAATATTGTGGTATTTCATATCATTCAAATGACAAATAGTTATTCCCTATCTTTCGTAAAAAGCGTTAAGTTGGTATATGGTTAGGAGGTGCCATCTGTGATCATGAGATCGATATCGAGGAGCTAATAAATTATATTATGTTACTATCTATTTTGCACACTTAGGTAATAATTTAACTAAACATTGGCAACAGCCACAAGCGAAATTACAAACAAGGCAAAATTCGAATATCTAGCGACAAACGAGGTCGATGTTCGCCAAATGAACTAGTATAAAATAAGAAAGGCTATAAACACTCCTTCGACAGGTTACTTACCCAGTTTTCGGACTATTAAGAATTCAACGAATCATCATACGACTTTCACTAACCGTGGAATGTCTACAACAGCATTTTAAGACTAACGCAACTTGGTAGCTTTTTACACACCTACCTTTTAAAAAAAGAGATCTTATCAAAAAAAAATGGAATCTTTTCTGTTTCATTACTCAAAAAATATATCTGTAAACCATTTACGGATTTGTAACATAAAACAGATGCACAGATATTATGTATCAAAGAAATCAAGCGGCAATTAATTTCGAACGTAGGAGCAAATGAAATATTAATGTGAAAAATAATTGTTGCCTAGAAAGTTTTGTTAGCCGCCGATATTGGATATTGCATGCACGCACGCTGCGCGAGAAAGCAAGACGCGGCCGACTCGCATTTGTCAAACAGTGCACCATAAGTAAACGTTAGCAACTAAATTTAACTGAGTGTTGTTACAAATACACAACCTAATATGTTTTAATTTTACTAGATTGAGCATTTAAGCTGCCCAACACTATAATGATGAACTCAAACCCACACAAACTTTATTGTGGGTTTTAGTTAATTACTTTAGTAAACAAAATATAGAGCAACTGAAGAGAATCCTAATAGATAATATTTACGCCATTACAATTTAGAACACAGAGATCTTCAATTTCTTACATACACTGTTCCAAGTCACCACATTGGAACAGCACCGCTTTGTTTGTCGAAAGTAAAAGTCCGAATATCAACTAGGACTAGTGAAAATTGTTGGCCAAACCCAACAAACCTGTGTCTCGCGCGAGCAGATTTACCGGCAACATGCGAAGATTTCACTTTTATGATTATCACTACGAATACGTTATGTATTAAATATTAATTTAAAATAAAACAATTTCTTCATTATGGCAATACTAATACGTAAAGATTATTCAGTTCTTTTTATTATTTCAATAAACACGATCAGCTGTCGCATCTATCTATCTGAGGTTATTGTCACGCTAGCTATTATGTAAAGCCTTTCAGAATGATTTAATGTGACATAACATTCGGACATGTAACCTATAAACTAATTAGTTTTAGATTCTTGTAATTGAAAACAATAATTAAATCTCTAGTACAAATGAAATGCACTAACCTGACATGTTTTTCCAAATATTCGCAAAGGCGAAGGTCCAGGAGGTTTAAGTTTCACAAATACAGTTTGTCTTCGAACTTTATGTCCGAATTGACACAACAACTTATTTTGGACACGAGCACAAAGCCTACTGGAACTTAAACACGCCATAGTTACAACTGCAACGAAACGCTCGAAGCTATGAACTACATAATCGTGAAATAAAATACAGACGTTCGCCTTTTCCTCCCCACTTTCTTACAGCTGATTGTCAATGTTGTCAATCGCCATATTGAATGTGTTGCCAGTTAAGTACGAATGTTATTTATAGCTTTAATATTATTTGTTAAATAGAGTTATTATGAGTAGCTCTATATATTAAGCTGCTGTTAATGATTATAGTCTACAGCAGCTAAATATACCAAAAAACCATGCTCTTTTACTGCAATATTTATAATTTTTATGATGACGGTCTGACTTCAGTTTATTCTTCGGTAAAGTGGGTTACTTGTTTTATTCTTTGTTATTAACATAAAGTTAATATTAATGAAAGTAGATTAATAAAATATCGTTACATAATAATGAGGAAATATTTTTAAAAAAAGTAAGCACTAAATAACGCTCCTCCACTAGACGGCGACTCTAACAAAAGTTGATTTTTGCCGGAAACGAATGGACCAAAGACAGTCATTTCCGTTCCTTTTAAATAACATATTACAAAACTGAAATTTGAAAAGTTCAAAACTTAGATATCAATACAAATACGAAACAGTACAAATAGAATATGAGTTGTTTATTGAGTTTTGAAAACTAATTTACTTTTAAATACGAAAGAAAACCGAAAAGGTTGTCATGGAGACATGAAGAATGTATCGTAGCGACATCTAGTTTGATTTCGCGAACAAATTTTTTTTTTAAATACTTACTCATTACAGTTGATCGTACACAAAGCCAGTATAAATCGATATTTTATCTATATAATTGGGTCTTAAGTAACTCCAAAAAATTTTGTTTGTAATAACCATAAACAAATTAAATTCGTTTTACAATAACGAAAGAAACTCTTTAGGTACAATAGTACCTATTTTGGATTTTTTTTTAATACTGTTCACATGGACTACTGTTCAAGGAAATAAGTTTTTTTTTTTAAGTAGAACAAATATAATTTATTGCCGTGCCATGCTGTTGTCTAGTATGCCTATATGGACAGGGATGCCCTGTAGCTAACCCATTTCACTTCACTGATAATAATGATTCACCATATAAAAATGTATTTGGGCACAGTATGGACCAGTAGGGCTACCCCATTACAATATTAATTTAAAATTGTATAGCATTAGATTAATTTAGAATGCATTCACTGTAATGTAATATTAGTAATGTTACAAAAGTGGAAAAGTTCATGGAGCTATCAACTCTACTGGATTATGAATGTTAACTTGGCGGTAATAATAATATTCATACCGTAGCTAAATGCCACTTTTAATTATATCACAGCGTTCATTCAATTGATTTCCATAAATTTAAAAAAAAAACCTCTGTGCTCACTTCCATTATATTACTTTCCATTTTCCTCCATATAAATAAAAAGAAATTTATTTAAAGGTTACTTTGTATTAATCGAGTTGCGTTTGCATAACTCGAATTAGTTAAACTCGATATTAATCCGAGTTATCAGATCCATAACAACACTGACAATTCTATTCTCTCTGGTTTAACGTCATATATTGACGTTTAGATCCAACAATTTGTGCTGCCATCTAGGGACATACATTTTTGTAGTTTCTTTATTATTTTAAATACTTCCTTTTTTTTAATAAAAGAAGAAGAAGAATTACACCTTGGCATTTCAATATTTTCTAGTAATTATTCAGAAATAAACTAATGCGAAGAACTTGCCATTTTTAGATCCACCATTCGATTCTTTACATGTGTTGAGTAGTACATTCAAATTTTTATGTTTGTATCGAAACAGAAAAAATAGGATCTCGATTTTAGAGGGTAAAATATCGATTCAATGAATCATTCAGTACTTGATATCGATTAAAAAAAAAAAATTTGTTGTCTAAAGCACCGATTTCACTAGCCAATCTATCGGGCACGATATATCGACCTCGATTTAGGGCGGTTGACGTCGTTGTGATTACATTGCACTAGTTCGCCTCCCTAACTCAGTTGGCATGCAAACGTGGCGTTGAAAGGATGGCTCCTGCGCTCACAAAGAACCAAAAAATTGGCATAGCCTATACTTTAACTGCAGGCGCAAATAATAAAACAAAAAAAGAAAATGAGTGAAAAAATATTTGCTTCTTCTTGACAAACTATGCAATTTGAACTACTTCAGCACGAGTTCTGCACAATTTGATCATATAATAAACTTAGTCATACCTTATATAAAAAAAAACAATATTCGCTCTTTAGAACAAGTGTAAGCGCAAAACAGCGGTTAGCTGTGCTGTAACATCAAAATTTTTAGCAACGGGAAATGCATATCATGACTTAAAGTATAAATATTCAATAAGTTAATTGTTTCCATAGGTAATTTAAAATAATGTTACATAATTAAGTTAGTCTCTTTATAGACCCTGTCGGGCACAACAATAATAGAAAGGAGGAGTATAAGTTTTTATTATTGTAATTTATAAAAAATTAAGATACATAATTATAAATTTTTAATTTCGGTAAAATCATTGATATCAGAACCCCTGCTATCAAAAATTGTACCAGACACATGCAGGGCTATCTAGAAATGTTTAAAACATTATATCATATATATTATAAGAAAAAGCAATAAATAATATTAAAGTACATTTAATATTATTTCTTTTTTCTTTTGAGAAGACATTTTCTCTGTTCGCAAATTTAGTTGTCGTTCACTGACGTCTCATATGCACGCTGCGCAACAACCGACTGAGCGCTCTAACACCCTAACAGCGATCACATTGCCCGATAAATCGGCCCTAATGCACTAACTAATGAGATCGGGCAGTCGTGCGGTCGGGCGCTCACGATCACCCGATATCGGGACCCAAACTATCTAACAGCGATTAGCCTTCCCAATTTACAGTGTAGGTACCCGATCGATCGTGCCCGATAAATTGGGTAGTGAAATCAGCGCTTCAGAAATCGATTCTTCAGTTAATCGATCTCAGAACGCCATGCTACTTTACGGGAAATAATCATAGAGTAAGGTAGAGTGGAAATATTTTCTATGATTATATAAATATCATGCAATCTGAAGTTGACATCAAAAACATCATGTTGTCTTTTTTTAACTAATAAGAAGTTTCTTTAGTAAACAAAGATAACACAAGTGTGACAGTTCAAAATTTTTTACGTGACGTCATGAGATATAGCTATCGTACCACCTGTCAGCCATTTGCAAATTTGCTGTGCGTATTCTCGGAAGTAGTTCAGCTGTCAGTGTTATAAGTTTTGTGGTTATTTTCATTTATAACTTTAATTTATATAACTTTCATGGCAGAAAATTGTAAATTATTTATGCAAAACAATGCCTAGGTGCTGTATAATTGGTTGTGCGTCATCAATATCTCGCAAACCGAGCAATATTACGTTTCACCGGTAAGTTAAACACTTTCTTGGAATAACAGTATTTAAAACGTAAGTAAGTTATTCTGAAAATGATTGCGTGTATAAATTGATACATATCGTATTTTGGCGTGTTCTATTTATGCTATATTGCTCTTTTCGTTTATATTTTTATAATATTTCGGTCCGTAAATAATATTGTTTACATGGCTAGTGTTGTTACTTTAACATATGGTTTATATCGATAACTTTAATATTTAAAAATATATTAATTATTTTATATTACCAAAAGAGGAAAATGGCCGAGTTACATAGAAGCAGAAAATATTAAATGTAATGAAAAAGTTACTTTTATCTGGTCACTTCATTTTAGGGAAAGTTATTTGAATCGAACTATAAATATAATAAAATTACGAGATGATGCATGATCAAATACTCTGGTAAGAATTTTTGACAATTGCTTTTAACTTATTTAAAAAAAAATGTCTATTACACTTAGTTAATTTTCATTTGATTTTACTGATTTATTTATTTAGTTTTTTATATAGTCATTTTGTTATTCTATAAATGTACCTTATTTTTAGTCTTGCGGTCATATGACGACTATTTTAATTGAAAAAAATCAGAATGCAATATATAATAATATTAAAATATAAAATTCTGATCATAATATACTCCCAGTAAAATATACAATAAAATGAGTTAAATAATTTTAATAAAAATTAAAATATGCACACTTATCGAATTAAAGGCATAGTTAAAGGTTTTCTTTGCTGTTCAATAGTATAATCTTAATACCCAAATAATTATTTTGCGGCGTGGATGTTTATTTTGCTGATGCATCATAAAATACGCTACCTTTTTGAATTTAAATTGCTGACCGTTATCATGATTGTTCACAGAACATGAATAGCAGATTGTTTTAGTGCTGAGAAAATATTTGTATGCTTGCCTATTGATTAATCGGATGTTTTCTTCTTGCTAACCAAATTTTTAAATAAAATGCCAATTGTTACTTCTTTAATAATGATACTGTTATGCCAATTGTTACTTATTCATCACCAACTTTGTTTTCTTTATTTTCTCTTGTTTATTCATCAAAGTTTACAGTATTTTTATGTTCTTTTACCAATAATATATTATTGGTAAAAGAACATATTGTATACAAAGATTATGTAGGTGTTTCAAGTTTTCTATGTTTACTACTAAACAAGATGTTCTGAACTAAAATTGTGACACAGTACGCACGGTATCTCACTTAATGAGGAGGAAGCGAAATTTATTCAGTTAATACAATTTATTGAATAAATTCATAGACAAGTTGGCTTACTAGTTACAAGCATATAAGAAAGTCGAAACTCTGTGCTTATAGTTCAGCAATCTATTACGGGAAACCTTGTACCGAGAAAAGAAGAAACTGTAAGAAAGGAACCGGTAAGAAACTGCAAGGGCTGCTTTTGCACCCTGTTTAATTTCGTACTGAAAAATAAAAAATGACTTCATTGGACCAAAATGTCACTTTCCACCAAAACGATAAAAAATAAAACAGACAAAAAAAGCATTATAATTCATTCGTCAATCGACTCATTAAAAGCTTATTATAGTTACCGTGGCAGTTATCTTGGACAGTAGTCACACTTCCCGTGGATGCAAAATTAAACTTATATTAAAAAAACTATTTAATTATAATTGCAAAATGTCAACTTGACAATATATATGGAAATAATTATTAAACACGATTGATATTATTGTAAAACTTTTAAGATATATATTTTGGTACTATGTATAGTTCTTAAAACTACGTAAAATTGTCTATATTAGAGGAAAAATAAACATATTCATTGAAGTACAATCATATTATAAAATTATATTATTAAATAATATAAATGTGAAAGTTTGTGAGGATGGATGTTGCTTACTCTCATGTAAAAACTACTGAACGGATTTTGATGAAATTTGGAATACGAATAATCTTTTACCCGTGGGAAGCGCCATCATACGCTGGTAACATATGTTATATTTACTATAGTGACGCAACAGAGTCGCAAGAACAAAGAACGCAAGAAATTTTAGATGTCCAACAAAATACGAGCAAAAGATTGCTTAATGACTTATAAATAATTGATAAATTCACGCCACTTTTAAAAAAATATTATTTTCTTAATACTGGCGTGAATTTTTCAATTTAATTAATAATAATCATAAATAGGATTGGTACGTAAGTGTGAAATGAATAGAAGTGTAATAGGTAATAGTTTAGCCATGCCCCTAACAATGAAAATTATATTATATTATTTAATAAGTAGTAGTATTGTAGCAGTTTCACGAAATACTAACTTTTATTTAATATGACTTCAATGTCGATACAAATATCGATATCTTGGGTCGCGCCCTATGACAATCCGCCATCGAAGAATTTGCATTTGAAGTTTAGGCATATACGCTTTTTTCGTAGGTATGGCCGGTTCTCTTCTTTTATGTCTATGGAAATAATAGATACCTACTGCTACTCTGGGAAAATTTATTAAGAAATTTCTTTAGCGAGATATTAATAACCTATTTTGCGTTTTACAAATATTTTAACTTTCCATTTGTGCAATAAAGTATTTTGGCACAGATCAGCTCAAAATGGGTGCTCGTTTATGGAGATTTGTAGAAATAATGAAATATATGGAGCGTACTATATTGAGTAACTTTTTTAAACAGCCACCAAAAGGTAATTCCTTTAAAGTGTACACTTAATCTATTTTATCAAATAAACTAACTCCTAATACGTTTATACCTTTACAGAATTAGGCTTATTTTCTGTTACTGAAGCCGATGCTAATGTAAAAGCACCAACAAAAGGGTACTCCCTCAAAGATATTATTGGAGATGGTTATTTGTTAGCTGTACCAAAATTTAGAAGAACAATTGAAAAAAGATTAAAGAGAAAATATGGGTCCCCTGAATACGTCTGGAAAATGATTGTTCCTAAAAATAATATTAAAGTATGTCAAGAATGCGGTCATCACCATGAGTGTGGACGTCTCTGCGGTAGGAAAGTTATTTATTACCTATTACTGATAACGAAGTTTCCGTAGCTTAGATTAATAAAATTCTCCCAACTGTAATCACAAAAATTATATGCAAATAAGGTTCTATTGTAAAATATGTTGACAATTGTTTAAGTGACATGCACATTTTAAATATATTGATGCTGGAAAGCAAACGCCTAGTAACCTGCAAAACTAAAATGGATATTTAGAGTGGAAAATCCTTATATTCCAAAAAATATGTAGGTATATCTTATTTCTGTATAAATTGACTAAGGAACACCTTATTTGTTATCATGGACATTTATATGAATTATTTATCGAAAAAAAATAAAAGTTTTTCTGCTCTGAAGAACAGTTTTGGTTTTGCGGGTTACTACATGTTAGCTTTCCAGCGTTGATATGACCTTATCAGAATGTTTTAAAAACATAGGATACTGTTTACAAAGTACATATCTATGTCATTCCAGAACAACTGGAACTAAATCATGTCTTAGGAAAACCATTTGGCAACTCGCATAGATATGTGTGATAAATTTGCCATAATTAAGCTAATGCTTTATTTATTTCATTTAATGCCATATGGTATGATTACTTTTTGTAATATTTTCTCCTTAAACTTCTCAAAATTTACTATTTGTTTTAGGTCTCAGCCACAGGAGTATTGTTTTATTGTATTCATTCAAAATTGCACCATATTGTTTTCCTGGTAATATAAAGATAGCTACATATTAAAAATAGGCACTGTATTGAACTACACAGTTAACATTCATAATCCAGTAGAGTTGACAGCTCCATGAACTTTTCCACTGTTTGTAACATTACCACTATTACATTACAGTGAATGCATTCTAAATTAATCTAATGCTATACAATTTTAAACCAATATTGTAATAGGGTAGCCCTACTGGTCCATACTTTGCCCAAATACATTTTTATGTGGTGAATCATTATTATCAGTGAAGTGAAATGGGTTAGCTACAGGGCATCCCTGTCCTTATAGGCATACTAGACAACAACATGGCACGGCAATAAATTATATTTGTTCTACTTAAAAAAAAATACTTTTTTCTTTGAACAGTAGTCCATGTGAGCAGTATTCAAAAAATTTCAAACCAATAATAGTACCTAAAGAGTTTCTTTCATTATTGGCAAAATAATAAGTCTTATTTTGTTGTGATCTCTTTATGTGTGTCCTTCCAAAGTTTTGCCTAGAGCCTAGGGTGCAGTCCTTATCCTTATTTTAGAAAAAAAAAATCAGCTATAAACTATTTGTGGTCTTATTTACTTTTTGATTTTATACTTTTTTTAAACTCAGTGATGATATTCAATAGAATGTATTATTTCTGTCACCATAATGCAGCACTAACACATACACTGAGAATAATATCTGTTACTTTTATTTGAAAATATGTAGATTATAATTTCATATTACTATAAATTTCATATAACTATTCTGTAACAACTGGTTTACACTTGATTAAATAGTAAATGTGTAAACAAAAAATTTAATTAACTACACACAAGCTTTATAAGAATTAAATATTATGATGTCACTTATTACTTGTATTTTTACACATAATTAAACACTTAAATTAAGTTAAAAATCCACATACTACTTATCTGCTTAATTATGCGTAAACGAGATATAACTGTCAGTTTTGAAACTAAATATACTGGAATTTCCAACTTCAATTCTTCACTTTTGAAATTAGCATAGTTCATACTTATATTTATTTTTCAGAAAACTGCTACACAAAAATCGAAACTGAAACTAAATTGATAAAAGATAAAATAGTAGAGAAATTGGGTGGCAGTCCTATTGATAAGGAAGTTGTTGTATTATATGAAAACGAAACACCAGAACAGGTAATATGAAATTACATACACATTATTTAAAATGTGAGATATATTCTTAATGAAAAATACACTTTGTAGTTTAGCATTGTGAATGCAAAATGATTGAGAATAAATTATTATCTTAAGATCCCACTGCTGGTCTATTAGATTTAAGAATATACTCATATAAAGCAGACCTAAAGCTGGCAGGGTTGTCACCCATGGTCTTCTGTCACTCTAAACCATCTTTTGCTAGAGAGAAAAAGATAGCATGAGGTATTATTGCACACCCACTATGTTTCTCACTTTAGCAAATGATGGTTTTAAACAACAGAAAAAGATAGTGTGATGGAAAAGGCGGTACCATGCTTCTGGATCTAGCCTAACCCTACATGTTTGATTTAGGGTTAATTTGGCTTTCTTTAATATCAATAGTTTTATAATTTACAATTCATATAAACATATAATTTTCGTTTCAGCCCAAAGAATTCTGGAAAGGTAAAAGAATAATTGAAATGAAAAAAGAGAGGCCATCATGGTTTAGTAAAAATCTCCTACAAAAGTCCACACAAGAACCTTCAGATTCTAAAGATGTAAAACCAACAGACTTAGCTTAACTTTTAGACTTGATCACTTAAACTTAAATAAATTTGTAGTTCGAAAAAGTTTTTGTATTATGCAACACCTTTATAAGGCATATTTATCAGTCAGCACACTACCCTCTTGAATTTTGAAATGGATTCTGAAGTTTTATTCTCTTATTTATCGACAGATCCGTCGCCATCTTTCATTCATTTAATTTTCATTTTACATGTAGAAATTTATTTATTTACTTGACATTGGTAGAATTGTGTGAAATGCGCAGATAAGCCATTAATAAAAGAAGAAAATGCTGATGAAATAAAGACAAACTATAAACATCTTAATTATTATGTATATAAATAAGATAACAGAAGTTAACTTATATATAGTATACAAAGACTATATATTTTGAGAGTAATCAAAGAACCTATATTGAACCATTATTATATTGAAAAAAATAGGTTTCAACAGTAATGATACCATTATGTATGTTAATACATAATGGTTGTGTTAACAACCTCTTCGAAATATGCATTTAATTTATTAGTGTTTTATATGAGATTTAAACACTTGGCTTTAAGAAACTAGAAAGCACAATTATTACTATTATTCAGGTTATCCCTAGCAATTTTGTATATTGTATATGATGATGATTTGTAGCAAACCAATATATTTAAATAAAAGAAAATAATAAAAGTTTAGTTATTATAATGATGTGAATTTTACTACTACATTTTACTCTTATTACAATTAAAGTAAATATGGTTAAATAAACATGAAATAAATATAAAATTTAACTCTATTTATTTTAATATTTGTAATTACTATATCACAGGATCAAGAGAATATGGTAAGTTTTCAAAGTTTTCTATAACAGAATCTGGTTCACTCTCACCAGTAAAATGACTCTCTACATGGGACTGAAACTCAACAAAAGCCACATCTTTCTCAAAATTTTGTCCACACATTGGACATACTTTATCAAGGCATATTTTATCTTTCTTATCATTTTCATTTACAACTGACACACTTTTCTTGAAAGCTGATGTATTCAGTTCACTAAAGTTATTATAACTGCTTGATTCTATTGGAGTTGCCCAATTAGCCAGGCTATCACTAGTTTCTATTTCTTTATGTTCTGATGGAGTGATTTTTGCATTGTTGACTGCACATGTAGGACACTTATATCCACCTACAAAGATTTTAATAATTAGAAATTACAAATGAAAATACAAATTGTTATTAAGCAAATGTGAACTTACTTTTTAATACTGCTTCTACTCTAGCTATGACCACTTTCAAATCTTCTTCTTGCTGTGCAAGTTCTTTTTTTACTTCCTGTAGTTTCTCTGTTTGTAAATGAATTTCCTTCAGTGAATCTGTTACTGGGTCCTCCATATATGTGAAACCAATGGACTCTACATTTAACAAATTTTCATCATCAACATGTTGGAGCTGAGCCATCTGTTCATATTGCTCCACTAACTGTGATTTTTCTTGAATGTAGCTGTTAATTAATTTAAGGGAAATTTCCTCTAAGCTACATTCTGAATATTTTTCTTGATAATTAACACTAGATTTTGGTGTGCTGTGCAAATAAGTATTAGTACGCAATAATGGTTGTTTACTATATTCTTTATTTGAGCCTTTATCTAGTCCCTTATGTGTAGCCAATTTATTCCACAAGTTTTTATTTTCACATGAAACCATAAATACATGGTGCAACAACTGAGATTTTTGTTTGTTTAGTTCTGCTATCTTTTGCTGCAACTTAAACTTTTCGTCTTCTCTCAAAGGAATGTAAGATGCATTCTCAGTTGCCTTTGTAATATCGAGTTTAAGACGCATGTTGTCACTTTCTAAAGCGTTAATTCTCCGTTGCAATAATAAACATCTGTCCCTCATTGCGTGTAACGCTAACTCGTGGACGCTTATATTATTGTAATCACCTTTAAGAGTCATTTGGTATGTGGAGTCATTATTAAAGCTAACAATTGAAGATGAATCCATTAGCGTAAGTATGCAAATATCGTAATAAGATTTCTACCAAAAAAAAAACAAAACCCACAACACGTAAATTTCAGCACGTAGACAAGACAAATAGCAGGGGGGGGACAGTTCTATAAAATTGTCAAACGGCATCGGCATACATTGCTCTGCCTCTTACTAAATTTAATAAGGAAGTATTAAAAAAAAAATTAACTACAATGTTTCACTAGATGACAGCACAATTTGTAGGATCTAAGTGTCAATTAGGGATGATCGATGTTTAATAAACGTCGATGATCAGCTAGAAAACATCAATTTTTTAACTTTGATAACATCGGCACATCGATGTTTTCTAACCAAACATCGATGTTTATGAATAAAATATCAATATATCCTTAGGATCATCTAACGTGCTCTAGATGTATTAGCTAGATGATCTCGTATATCAAGTTCAACAATTTTTCACTAGATTTCACCGGTTGCACTCGTAACTGGAGTAACCAAACAAATAGTTTCTTTTTTGCTTGCATTTTCGAAAGAAGTTAAAAATAAATTTGTCGATTTCAGCGCTCTTTGGTGCCCTATAATTAACCGATAACGTGCTTCAATGACTGCTACGATTTTATAGGTTATTTTAGTTACCCTTAAGCAGATTACGATACTAACTGCTTGCTGATTTTGTTTTGCATTGAAGGTATAAAAGTTTAAGAAGATTTTTTTTTTCGGTGTCGGGTAGCTTCGCATGTATGAGTGATGACCAGTGGTCGGAATTAGGTAGAGTTATTCATGTACTTACACTGATTTCATACAGCGAAAGAATAAAGTGGATATGCCTCAAATCCCGTGATTAATTTTAAAGAGCAGAAAAAATCCCGTGATTTTTAAATAAAAAGTTATTTACTTTTACACAATTTAAACTACTGCACGCACGACGTTGTCAAACTTACATCAATGACATCGGATGTCCAAAGATGTCCAATATTGTCCATTAGAAATCCCGGTAAGGTCCACATTAATATCAACATTTCGATGAAAGTACATAAATAACTCTACCTAATTCCGACCTCTGGTGATGACTTATGCTAAACTAACTAAAGTTCATCTCACGAAAGAAGCCCCTCGGATCACAATGTTTTCGCTTTTATTATAAAGGAATAAGAGTTATTCGATGGGACTTCTTTCGTAAAATTCTAATTAAACTCTTTTATTTCATGTTTCAAAATAGGGATAATGGATTTTGGATAATCAACGATGTTAAAAGCAAAAAAAAAAAACTCACGGCCTCACGCAAGACCAATGCATTATTTAAATATTATTATCAATTTAAATTAATCGATATTACAAAAAACATCGAAATTTTGATAAAATGAAAACCGAATTTTTGTGTATGTGACATATCTTGAAATACATATTTTACATACATGTTTAGAAAAGTTGTCTTGTTTAACTCTTTATCAATAAAGAAATAGATTAAAAGTTCTTCCTTATCAAAATTAGTTTTCCTTCAATCAGTTGATATAAAATATTGGAATAAGTAATGATTTGTACGGTTTCCTAAGAAATTTCGAAAGATCCACTGTATTTTATTTCTTTATAAAAAAAAAACAATGTTTTCCAACATCGATGTTCAGTTTTCGATAAATATCGCACATCGATGTTGGGCTTACGATGATGTCACCGTTGTCAATGTTTTTCTAATGTCGATCATTCCTAGTGTTAATTCATGACGTTAAACCAAAGAGAATAGAATTGTCAGTGTTATTATGGATCTGATAACTAGGATTAAAATCGAGTTGAATTTCAATTAGTTCATGTTACGCAATCCTAATATTTGAATCATTTTTGTTTTTTGTATAGAGGAAAATGGAAACTAACATAATAACATAATAGAAGTGAGAATAAAAAAGGTTTTTTTCAAGTAATGGAAATCAATGGAATTAATGCTGTGAAATTATTAAAAACGGCAATTAGCTACGGTGATGTACCGTGCCCGGGCACACTCCCAAGGACTGGAAATTTTGTTGGAAGCATTGCCGGCAACGCTCCCAAAGTGGGAATTTACTGGGATTATTGGATAAATTTATCGAGTTTTCAAAATATTTCGTTTGAATTTGAATTACTTTATGGTTACCTGTGTACTGGATACGAAGGTTGACATTTTTATATCATAATAACGAATATTCCCAGGATACTGGCAATGTTCCCGGCAAAATTCCCAGTAATATTTCCAGTTTATTGCCGGCAAAGTTCCCAAGAAACATCTTAACGATGGGTATCTGTTTAGTGTAGAATATCTTACGCTATTAAATGCAAAGTATATATATAAAAATACGTATTAATATCAAAAGTAGATAATTAAAACTGTTTAAAAGAAAATTAATTATTTTTCAATATCAACATATGAAAATAATAACTAAAATTAAAATAAACAAATTATAAAATTAAAATAAACAAACCAACTTTTTATTAATGTTTTTTATGCATAATTAATATATACTAGGTACCTATATACTAATATTGTAAAGATGTAAAGTCTCTAAGTTTGTTTGTAAGGGCGAGGGGGGGGGGGGGGTTATCTTTGCACATTCTGATTCGAGCTTTAAAATTCTTTCACCTACGAGAAGCTACACCGTATGTGGGTGACATAGGCTATAATTTCAACGGGCGATGTTGCAGGAACACAGTAAGTAATATATACATTTATACAGTGGTCTAATGAAATCATAAAACATCAATAATTTTCCTTTGATTTAAATTGTTATTTACTTAAATACTAGTCAAAATTACTTTTTCCTGTTCTTTCTGTTGTTACTTTGTATCTTTTACGAGTATGAATATGCGAGAATGTGGAAAACGACCTCTCAACCGAAGCTGACGTAGCAGGTTCTGGTAAAATTTTAATTGGTATTTGATCCAATAATGTATTTTCGAAAAAAGTCATCCACTACCACTATTTTACCACTATTTTAGATCGATTGTATTAGCAGCTTGCCAAATAATATTTTTTGCATATACCCTATTTCGGCATTTATATTCTGATAGTTCCTTTATCAATTACCAGATTCATCGTTAGTAGTGGCAAAATTCATAATAGCATTACAGCCTTCTAAATTACAGCCTTCTTCTCTAAATTGGAACCACGAGATTTTGTATCAAACAGCGGCAAAATGCAAATTATTCAAAACATTCTGTTTTCGTGCAAGAAACTTGCCTCGGAGTTATGGTAAATTATCTTCTAATACATCCATTGCGTTTCTGCTATATAAAAGCTCCTCGATATCTAATAACGCTCCATAAACTAAATATATCGTTCAGTAATCTCCCTCAAGCTTAGAGATCCAATGCACAATTGGCGTAAAAAACCTGATATGATTTTTAATCGTGGCCCATTTTGATTCATTTAAGTTATTTTCTTTATATTTATCCAGTTCCCGAATGTCAGTGATCACCATAGTCGGAAATATAAGCATCAAAAAAAAAATCCAAACAATGTAAATAACTTCCCCATCTATGTAGTTTTAAATACGAGCGTTATATTTATAGATTTATCCTCAGAGTCTTTTAAATTCTGATTTTAGAATATGTGATTTTGAATTTTTTGTAGAATTGCAAGATTCTGGTGTTCTCTTTTAAAATTTTATCCATATCCTCTTTTTTGTCGACGGAGCATTGTTTAAATGCGTTTACAAGATGATGCACAAACACTACATTTGTAAGATTACGCCCGATTTCGTAATAAACGGGTGCGATAAACGGGAGCTGCAGTATTATTTTTGTTACAAAACGTTGAACTCGTCGTTGAGCGCAGCGCTGTCATAGCATAGAGAGATTCAGGCAAATAAAACTAAGCACAAAGGTAATAAAGTTTTATTTCATTTTATTTCTATGAGGTGACACCGCTGCGGCTCGACGACGAGTTGAGCATGTTTTTAACATACAGATATTGTAGAAGACGTTACGTATTGAAGTTAGAATCATAACGAGGCGGTATGCTTATTCATCTATATAATACGACAAAAGGCCTGGGAACTTTCGGCAATATTCCCAATGTGCCCGGAAATTTTCCGGGCATATTGGGAGTGGAAAATTTCCGGCAGTGGCAATATTCCCATCACTAGCTACGGTATACAAAAACATTACTGTGAAATAGTTTTTATAAATAAAATACTTGTGTCATAGTAGGTCTAGTAATTTTTCATTATAATTTGTACGTGCAATGTGCATGTTGATTCTCGCAGCTATACAATGTACACATCATGAAGATAAAGGGTATGTTCCGATATACACTGCGACCACTGAACAGTATGACGTTAATTTAGTATACTGGAAGCCCGTTCCTTTATAGCTAGTTATGCTGGTGACTTTTTAAAACGGAACGCAGTCCAGTATACTGTTAATCCTATTTTTTGGCGCCATTTTCAAATTTGTTAATGCAAGGTGAATATAAATATAAAGATTCCCTCTTTTCAAAAGAAAATTGGAAAATTGTATAAAAAAAATATTTATCAATTAAATCCATCTTATAAATAAACGCATTTTTTTTTTGTTTATTTAGAAACTTATCATTTTCTGATTCTGTTTTGACTGATCACGTGATCAAAAGCACTGCGAGCACCTTACCTCGAAATCTCCAGTGCTCACAGTACAAATATGGCGGCAATTTATGACGTCATAAATTTCCCTAGGGTACTGTAGCAGGGTACTGGCAGTCTATAACGGAATGGATTTTTCAGCAGTAACACCACTGCGCAGTGCTCGCAGTGTATATCGGAACATACCCAAAGTAAAAGAACTGGAGGCCACCAAGCAAAGTTATTTGACCTCTATTGACCTTTCGTTGGACTCCTGGGTGGCTATGTCATAAATCTAAATTTTCCCGGAACCTGTACCGGTCATTGATGTTATTCGCTAATTTTATGTTTCATAAACTTTTTAACAATTGGTACTAATAGTATAGTTTTACACATCACTAATTGCATAGGACTTGAAACTTTATTTATATATCAGAAATAAGATTGTACATTAAATATACTCTGAAATCCAATCCAATGTAACAAAAAACTTAAACAAAAGGGTTATTAAGCAATAACTACAATTAAATAAAATCTATAATAAAAAATGGTTCGCAAATATTATAATCAGAAGGCAGATAC